AATAAAATATATATATAAATTTTGCGATAGATAAAACAAACATATTTTTGGAATATCACAAATATTTTTTGCTGCAAAATTAATTCATTTTAGTTGTTTTCTTATTGTATATATTTTTTTTGGGGGGGGGGCATTTTTCTTAAAATAAATCAATCTTTTGTTTAAACGTAGTTAAAGATAAAAATAAAATTAGAAAATATCAAATTTATATCACATATCATAAAATATACAGTAATATAATTTTTAATCACAAATGCTTGCTTACCACAGGAAAAAGTGTAGAATCCATGAAAAATTTATTTAACTAGTCGATCTTTTTTCTGTATTTTAAGATGAACATATTTTAGCTTGACAAGTTTGTCATATTTTTAAAAACCGAAATTTTTTAAACTTTCAATTCAATTTTCTGTCTAAAAGATGAATATTCATAATCAACTGATCTGCAAAATGTAATAAAAATTTCTTTTTTCCTGATAGTAAAAGATTTCTAAAATGATTTTTTAAATTTTGGGAAAAGCTTAATTTTTTAATAATTTTAGAACTTCACAGCATTTTTTTAGAGATTACCCCTGATAATATATGTAATAACTGCGATAAAAATGACTTTGTTTCAAAAAGTAAGGTTTTCAGAAATTATAGCATAAATAAAATGTATTTATAAATAAATTATTAATTTGGTAAATGAAAAATTTTTTACACACGTTCAGCATAAACTCATCATCGGTTTTTTTTCCTACGATACTTAATGTAACAGTCTTTCGTAAATTTTTCTTCCTAAATTATTTTTTACTGTAATAATTTAGTTTCATTTCTTAAGAGGCATTAATTAAAATCAAGGATAGCTCTTCTCATTGCTGTTCCGACTTTTGACAATTTTGGGAATTCGAGATGTTCCCGTGACATTAAATGTGTTCAACGATTGCAAACATTAAATTTTATCACCTATCTGTATTTTAAAAGGTCTGCTCCCTTCACTATTTTGTTTGATATAACAAAAATTATATATATATAAACATACTTTAAATTTCTAGTTGTAGTTGTCGTCCCTTCATTATCTAGCATCAGCTAAGTCTGATCTATGAGTATGATTAATTCGTAGTCATCAAGTCCAATTATTAGATAAAGAATAACTAAAAAACTTGAAATGCTTTGGATTGTGTGTATTTCAAAAATTTGTTTAGCAAAATATTTTAAAAATTGTGTGTTATGAATATGTTGTATTACACGTACATTTTAGATATTAATGTAATAAGTTAGAACAAATAATAGCTAAATACAATTAGGTAAGCTTCGTGAGTATTTTTAATAGCTTTAAAACAGATGTTATTTCTTAATTAATAAAATACCAAAACCTTCTTTTACAAAACATTTAATTTCTTAAAATATTCTAGTTTTTTCTAAATAAACAACTGTAAAATTCATAATTTAAACAACATTATTTAAAATATTTCATGTTTGAGCTTACAATAACTTAAATTTATTATATGAAAATTTTCACAATTAATAGTAACTTTATTTTAAAAGGAAATTTTAACTTAAAAAACTTTTAAAAAAACTTAAAAGCTTTAAAAAAACATAATCTTATTTATTTAACTTTTAACTTTTTAATTTTGTCAAAAAGAATTTTAAAATTTTTAACTGCTTTGAAAGTCGAACTGACTGTGACTTAACTTTCAATTTGAATAATTATAAAATTAATTTAAAAGCAAACTGCTATGACAAATTTTTGTCATTAAACAGCAAGTTACAAAGTATGGTTGTTAAATTTTGCATGTTACTGCAAAATAATTTTGTAATGTATCTGTTTTGTAACTGTGACAAATTATTGTTATTAAATATTGCATATTACTGCAAAATAATTTTATATCGTATCTGTTTTGTAACTGTAACTGCCAAACTTCTTTCCTACTTAGACTAATTTAATTTGATTTTCACATTGATAACAAATGTGATTATTTAACAGTATTATTATTCTAAGATAACCCTAAAAATTACCATTTAGAATTTATGCAACAAATTTATTAAGTATTAAAAGTAGCAAAATACTTAACTGCTTTTTTATCTAAAATCTATAATTAATTTAATTAACTAATGATAAAAACAATGTATTCATAAACCAGAGAATGCATTCATGAACAGTGAAGTTACAAATTGATACACATTGCTTTCAGCATTTTATAATACAGTCTTTCACTAAATATCCCTTTTCAATTATATTTATTTTATCTTCATTTTACAATAAAATAATCATAAAATGATTTGATTTTATAAGTTTTAATATCGATTGTAAAATAAAATGAACCATAAAAAATTGATATCATACCATTAATATCATGCCATTTAATTAAACCAAGACAAAATAATTTTAAATGTTTGAATAATGATACTGTAAGTGTTGACTCAAAATTTTAAGTCAATGTTAATTAGTGACTCAATGTTACAGAATTATTTAATTTCTTATTGTTGGGATTTCACATAGAGGAAATTTTTCAAAAGGATTGTTTTAAAACTTTAATTGATTATTATTAAAAGGAAAATAATTGGTTAACTTCCAAATTATTGATTTTTAGAAAAATTTTTTTAATCATTTTATTACTTGATTATTTGTTCAAATCAGGAGAGTCTTAAATTGTTAAAAAAAATTAATTGTTAAATTGTTAAATCTCTTACTGTTGGGTTTGTGATTTTATGTATTTGAAATAATTTATTTTCAGAACAGTAAAATTTTATATTCTGAAAGTAAATATATCAGTCACATTGTTACAAAATGTTGGAACATGTTAAACGAAAATATTTTTTACATTTGCTGCAATTTAAAACTATTATAGGTGATATATTATGCAGTATGCTCGATAATATAGCACGTGATATATTATCATGCTTCTTATTGCTTGATATTATCGTTCAAACATGAATCAGTTTAACACCTTATAAGGTGTCAGAAGATTTGCACAATATTATGGTACAAGGCACCTATATTGTGATTTAAAATATAACCAATTTTTATGAGAATGTAGAATATGTTAATTGATAGATTTCTAATTTACGCGATTTGCTTACCAACGTCGATTATTTTCTTTTCTTTTTTTCTCTTTTTTTTAGGAAAAAAAAGTATAACTGTTTTCTATGCTTACAAAACATAATACCAATAATAAACTCTGTATGATAGATAAATTCTATTATCTAATTATAATTATTAATAGAAAACTATAAGAAATACTCAAAGTAGTAAAAGCACACTACACTGCAAAATATTGGGATCAAATTACTGTGTAAAGTACCGATACTTCGGAGTACATCGTCCGTAAAATCCAAATTTAGCATGATATATTATACCGTAATTTTTACAGTAATATTTATTTAATTAGAGTGATTCAGGGATTTAACTGTAATTATTACAGCAAAAATTACAGTATATCAGGTTTTAATTCCATAACATGTTTTGGTAAAAATGAATTTGACCGTAAAAAGTACCTCCCCCCTGAGTGTCAGTACTTTTTACCGTAATTTGAATCCAGATTATTTTTACAGTGTATGTGATAGATAAGTTCAATTATAAATTTTCGGTTATAATTAATAGAAAGATGTAAGAACTGCTCATAAACTTCAAAGTTTTGATGAAACTAATGAAAAAAAAATCTTAACATTAAAAGAAAGTATTTTATACTTACCTTTATTCATCTTCTTGTTCAATTAGGTTAGGCGACATTTCTATCAGAGACGGTCCTCAATAAAAAGAAACATGGAGTAAAATGTAACATAACAGAATGTATGCATAGACTTACTTCTATTATGTGCATAAGTCTACCAATCATTCGTCTATGGTGTATAAGTAAGCGACAGCTGCATTTCACATCACCTACGACTACCTAATTTATGTTTTAAAATATAAGCTTAAAAATTGATTACGTATTTTTGATACTTTAACAAATTGAATACTCTCAATGCACGCAACTTAATTTAGAAAAATAATTTTAAAAAACCAATTGTGGTGGAAAGACTATTACTTTATATTATTACATTATTACTATTTATTAGTAGTTAAAATTTATAATAACAATTTTTGCTGATTTAAAATTCATTTTACTTAGATAAAATGAATGAATTTTAAGTTTATTTATTTAATTATCATCAATAAAAGCAGTGGTTACTAGTGCTCAATACCTTAACAAAAAATAATTTTAAAAAATTAAATTTCGAGAAAATACGCATACCTGAGTTTCAGAGATTAGAGCCCCCATAGAAATAACTATAGCATTCAAAGCTCAATTCAAAGAAATGAATTTAAAATAGAACTTATTTCAGTATATTACGAATTCGTCCATCATGTTTTTCGAGATTTCTTAAAAAATTTCTTAATATTAATCTCTTAAAAAATTTCTTAATATTGATTTCTTTAAATTCTCTTAATATTGATATCTTAAAACTTTTTGCATATAAATCATTAATTTCTCTATCATAAATCATTTTTCATTTTTGATGAAGTGTAATAAAAATTTGAAGTATAGAGAACATTCCTTTGATACGCATATCAAGTAATTATCCAAGTATACTACGCATACTAAGCAGTATACGTACGTATATTAAGTAATTATTTATACGCATAATAAGTAATTAAGTAATTAGCAGTACCAAATATTGCTACCCAAAATATTTTCGGAGCTCAGGGGAGGTAATTACTTAAACAGATGTTAATTTATAAAAGAAAATTAGTTTAGTTCAAATCTTCATTCGTTCAACAAATCTTATGTTCCAGAAACCTGTCCGAAACATAAAAAAAATATCTCACATAAAAATGCTTTTTATAAAGTACTAAAGGGTATATAATTCCTTAAATATTTGCAAAACGTTATTTAATAATTTCTAAATAACAATGCTTTAATAATATTCCTAGTAGTTATTTCCATCAAATCGAAGTAGCAATTACAACAGCTTCTATAATATATCCAATTTAATCATAACAGCTTAGAATCCATTTCCTAACCACCATAACTTTATGGTTTTTAAGACAGTTTATAAAGTGTTAAATTTAATCTCAAAATTTTCTTCTTGGATTAATTTAGGATAAGTATAGCTTTTGTCTCTCGCAGATATATGTGCTATGAATTTGATCAGTCACTTGTCAACTTGTAAAACTCAAAATTGTATCAACTTTTTGCACAGCAATTCAATTTTAAAAACCATGTAGTCCTGCATACGGTTGTATGGTAAATCCAATTCCTGAACATTGAATGCATTGTTCAGTACAATGATTACTCGGTGAGAAAAAAATCCTACGTTACTTAGGCAAAACAATTCTTTCAAAAAATGTATTGGTCATGATAGACATAGTTTACGAAACTACTCGTATATTTCCCAAATAATCTTCTTTAAGAACTAATAAATAAGTATGATTCAAAATTTCGCAACTTTTCGTATCCATACTTTCATTATACCATTCTCATTTATATTTTATACTTTTAAAATTTGCATTTGTCGTCCAATTCCTATGTCCACAAAAATTCCGATTCTTAAACAAAGAATCCAGAGGTATTAAATAAGACTCGGAAAAAAGGTCATATATTTCCTCTCCAAAATATTTTCTTAAGCAGTTCTATTTGAATACCAGCATAGTTTACATTTCTTGCAAATATTTTTGCATGATAAATCTACATTAAGCTCAAATAAATTAGCATTAAAATATTGCAACTTTTCGTAATCTACATCAAATCCAAAATAATTGTCACTTGTTGCAAATATTTGTACAATAACTCCAATTGCTAGTTAAAGTACTTATCGGCCCAACGTGAGGCACACATTTTTTTCTCGGGAATAATTTCTTCTAAATTTTCTTGTTGAAAAATATCTTGCAACATCATGTTCTCAGAAGCGTCGAACTACTGATCAGATGCCGACAAACAACATAAACTCAAAAGTGACACTGGATTAAATCAGGCGGATGATCATTGTTTCCACAACAATCAAATTGGAGAAGGCTTTTCTTGGACAAAAATGCGTATAATTAGTACTGACTTACTTGCGCTTCCATACATGAAACCGAACAACAAAGATTGATATTCCTTTTATGAGAAATTAAATAAATTTAGAATTCTCACATCATATGCAACAAGTTCTATAAAATGTCTCCAGAAGAAGAAGAAAAAAAAACTCTCATGACGAACTAAAGCTTCTTACCAAGCTTATCAGAGACCGACTTATGCTTCTTAAAAACGAGAACTGCCATACTTTTTCATTATTATATTCTCAACCTATACATTTTTCTTGTTCTTTCTTTTTTGACTGGACTCTTGTTGTTCAATCGCCGCTTCAGCCTTCAACAAAACGGGGGGTTGCCCCGTTGTTGATGAAGTGTCGGACGACCCCACCTACGTTATATGTCTTTTTGGATAGGAGTCACGATTTTGGAATCCCTCCCCTGCGTCCGTCTGCTGTTTCTTCTTTTCTTCATTTCCTAGATTCTTCTTTATTTTATTCCTTCCTTTATTGTCAATCAATCTGCTGAGATAGGTTGTCTGTTTTTTTTGCTTCCGACATACGTTGCGAAAACCCTGAATGCCCGGGCAGAAAGCAAAGTTTGAGAAATGGAGGAGATCTCTTGTCATCCACTCTGTGATAACGTCTTTCGTGTCCCTTTATCTTACTTGAATAGCTTCTGCTGTCTTTGGACTTCTCATTCGATTACATCAGAGAGAACCAATATTTGTTCCATTCGAAGAAAGAGTTCTCTTCTTCTTTTACGAACAGCCTTCTTAATGACCCTTTGTGACTATTCGTAATGTTGTAGTCGTTTGCTGTGGACACTTCATAAAGTGACAAATCGCACTTAATTGAAATAAAGAACGCTTTAACTATTAAAACATTTGAAACACAGTATAATATATATTCTCTTTCATATTTCCATTTAATACATTATATGACTGTTTACAAACGGTGTCTTCTTTTTTCGGAAGTCTTTTTTAATGACCTGTTGTGACTATTCGTAATGTAGTAAATGTTCGAGTCTTTGCTGTGGACACTTCATAAAGTAACATATCATACTCAATTAAAATAAAGAACATTTTCAGACATTTGAAACACAATAGAATACAAGTTTCATGTTTCCATTTCTGACATTTTATGACTGTTTACAAATGTTGTCTTCTTTTTTCGGACGTTCTTCGTAGTGACTTTTGCGACAATTCGAAATGTTGTTAATATTTAGGCCTTCCTGTGGACAAGTCAAGTCATAAAATAACATATTACACGTGATTGAAATAAAGAACGTCTTAAAGAACACAATAAAATCCATTTCATATTTATGTTTAGGATATTTTATGGCTGCTTATAATCATTGTCATCAATAACTGGTGAATTTTACTGTGTTTATGTTGTTTGCAAACTTTCTTTAATCTGTTAGAAATTTAAGAGCATACTCAACTAAAAGAAAGTTTAAATACAGTAACAATAATATAGTCCTAAGTTGATTCCACGATATTAAAGTTCTACTTGAACATAAGCATAGTTCAGTTTAGCACTTTAAAAAGGTTTCAGCAAATTAACGGTGCTTTAAGGTTCAAAGTACCGGTATTATGGTTCATCGTTGAACCAATTTACCCATAACTATCTTGCAAACGAATTTTTTATTACAAACCGTTTTTTAAAGCCATCAGAGAATAGTTAACGATATTTAGCAATCAATAATCAGCTTTTAAGTAATTTCAATAATACTGTTACTTTTAATAACTGCAATTTATTTTTTTAAGTCAAAGAGTAGATCATAAATGTTTTTTTAACCAAATATTTGGTATTCCTATTAAAATTGTGTTCAATAAGTGCTTTTTCAAAATATGGAAATAAATTTTATAGCAATCATTTTCCAATCGTATATATTGTGAAATTAAATGCTGGAAAAAACACTTATATTTATTCTTTTTAGTATTATATGCTCTCTGTAGCTTTATATCCTTCAATTCTCATTGTTACAATAAATGCTTCAGATATAGATCTAAACGCTATATACGAAAGAGTTATACGACATCTATAGTATTACTCTAGAACATGTAGATGATATTGTTAGATATGCTGCATTTTCCTTTTAAACTTATTTTAAGAAACTTATAACCAAATAAGAATACCAAATATTGAAAAAGAAATTATGGTCATTTATCTAAACATTATTTGTCTTAAATTATTATCTGACACATTACCTATTTTACTTATAATTATATATTTTTATTTTGATCATCGACATTGTATATGCTAAGGAATTCATTCAAACATTTATGAGCAGAATTAGATATTTAGATAACTAGTTTAAAAATATTTGCAAAAAATAATACAGCTTTATGAACTGCTTTACCTGTTATTCTATTAAAATTCTTTTAGATGCTATTTTTTCGAAAAATATGATAAAATATATGTATTTATTTGCTAAAATATCTGCATTTAATATTTGCTTTGTGATATCCAGTTAGCATAAATTTAAAATGAATTTTCCCTGTAATATCTTTCAGCATATTCTATCTGTTTAACATGTTGTTTAACTTGTATGATTTCAATTTCAATATTTTGGCAAAATATAGCATATTAAAATGACTATGCAGTTCTATAAAAAGAATATTTTTCTATGAACCGAAAATCTCAAAATCAATAAACAATAATTGCTTGGATATGGGACTAATGTAGGTTTAAAAAACTGCATTCCATAATTTAGGTTTCATATATGTTTAATTTCTAATTTTTAGACTTTTTTTTTACTTCTTATCATAGATTAACTGATTATCTTTATGAATTCTGTACGAATTTCCCTTTAAAATTATAATCCCAACCATAATTTCAAATTGCTTTTGATCTCTATTAATTTTATATTTCTAGAGTAATTATTCTTTCTAAAGTAGAATAATGTTTACAATTATAGGGGGGGGGGGAACGCATGCTTTATAGCACTAAGCATCAGAAATGTTTCTTTAGAATTTTAACAAT